GCTTAATAGTCAAGACGAATTCTATTGTTTTATTATTATTTCTTATAAGAAGGGCGCGGAGATTGAAAATAGTTTTGTTTTGCTTATAAGTCAAAACAAATTTTATTATTTCTTTAATTATCTTATATATGTAGGGTGTGGGGATTGAAAATTGTTTTGTTTCGCTTATTATTTAGTTTTTAGGGGGGAAGGAGAAGTGGGTGCATCCGAGGCTTGTTATTGGGCACGTGGTCCACTTCAGCTGAGGCCACTGAAGAGCTATAAATTACACACACTCGATGCTGACCACGTTCATGACCGCGGCCTAACTTTAATTAACCCCACACCGTCGCGGCCACTCTAGCCAATATGATGCCATAAATGCAGGACATCTTAAGGCCGGGTGTTTCTTTTATTATTATTAGGTGCTTATTTACTTTCTACTGATCCATTCCTATATAATTTTATTACAGGTGATTGCGTTTCCCACACTGACATTTTTTCTCTAAAAATTGTAAATTAGGTAAATGTGATTGGAAAAAGCTCATACAGCATATTCCGACGAAAATTAACGTATAAAATACATAACTTTCTATCATTACTATTATTTTATAAATATTGACCATCTATTACCTAATTTTTATACAAAACATTTTTTTCTATGTCATAACATCCCGTTCTTGACCTCAACCACATCCTCTCGTGTCTGCCCTTCGTCAAGCCCCTGTTACACCGAACTTGCCAATGCTCGGAGAATAAAATTTCCAACCCTCATCACCTTCAATATTGGCGGTATTGGCAGTATTTGATAGTTAACATCAAATACATACATCAGCGTTGATGACCATTAAGTGTTTCGACGTTACTATTTATTCTTCTTACAGTAACGTGTTTGTCCTACGTTCTGTCTCAGAAATAATTTTAGACGCGAATATGGAAGCCGGGAAGTTATCAGTGCTTTTAATTTTTCCCAAGTAAAAATATTTACGATAATTTGAAAAAAAAAACATAATACAGAGAAAGTATCGCCTTGATTTATTCTTATCAGAAAACGAAAAGCTCAAACCATCCTCTTGATTATGCATAGACACCAACGAATGAAGAAGCTTATCTTAATCAAAACCAGATAACCGTTTTCAGTCAGTGAAAAAAAGAATAAATTGTTTCCCTGAATTAATGACCATTTCTCTATTCTTGGTCTCTCTCACAATAGAAAATGATTTACCATAGGTAAGGACTGTTTCAGTAGAAAACCACATACCTTTGTCACCTGAGGCATCACCTGTTAGAGACAGCACAACTTACTCGGTTGTCAGGCGTTACCAACGGACAAAACTCCGTGGCCAAAAATGCACTTATGAAAAACCCACACAAAACAAAACTAGATGAGGCCATGACGCACCACAACGAAATGAATGATTAATTACACTGTAAATTAAAGTTTATTAAGGGCTGGGGTGCAGCGCGACAACTCACTCAGTAATACTACCTCCTGAGGAGAGAATCTCAGTACACGTGTTGTAGAAGGCCCGATCAGAGGGTAGCCTTGCCGTTATAAAGAATAACGCACCAAAACGACGAAGTTCATCGCCTTGGTAGTACAATAGAAACATTCGCAACAGGTGTTTTGCACTATACCAAGAGCACGTATATTGTAAGGCGCTTGGAATCATGGCGATGTCGATTCGGAATTTGTTGTTTTTTATTGCCTGCCTGGGATTATTCAGCAGTGCCAAGAGCAAACTGTGCTCAGAGCTGTCGCTGAAGAGCGGTTTTGCATGTGACAGGGATGATATGGAATATCGCAGGTAATAAAGGACAGTTAGCGTGTTTTAAGCCCTCTTTACACTGGACGGTGTCCTTTCTGCGTCCCGTTGTACGGCCCTGATTGAGAGTCAAAAAACAATGATACTTTGCGTGCCGACAACTGGCCGATCATTGAGCATTCATTTGCAACCAAAGCGGTGCATGTGCCTTCTTTTTTTACGGACAAAGGACGCAGGAAGGACGCCGTACAGTGTAAAGGGGTTTTAACGGCGTATTGGCAAATACCAATTGATCTCCAGTATTTAATAATTGACTTCTGGAATAGATTGACATTTCATGTATCAAAATACATTCATTAATTGATCTTGTCAAGAGAGAACATTTTCAGTGACATTTATTTGCGATACTTATTTGGTGGTCGGCGGTGATTCCCTGCATTTGCTCCAAATGTAGATAATCACAGCTGTGTTTGGCTGAGGGAAAGTTATACTTGTTACAGGTATAGCATATCATATAGTTATATAAATATTATCAAAAGTGCGAGAATCACTCGGTAATAAAACAAAAGACTTATAATGTAAAGTGATAGTTATAATGTTAGGTGATACAAAACAATAAAAATACAATACAATACATTTTATTTCATGTCGGGTATAAACATCCCTAAGCTTAGGGTGCATTCCCAGATATTTAGATCGATCCAGAGATTTAGATTTATATCGACCTAACACCCTGGGGGTTCACGCTAAATTGCAGTCACCCGAGCGCGCACCACAGTTAATTACCCCCCTTCAGCTTTTAGTAGGCGGGACAGACGCTTAAGCCGGCTAAGCTGACAGTAATTTAGTGAGACTCCCCACAGGGATAGATCGATCTAAAATCTTTGGGAATGGGGTCTTAGTTTACACTTCATGTGATAAACCTGAATGGATCATTGCAGATATTTCTTATGTGTTCCGGGGTTGGATATGCCATACGTGTACAACTGCGCTAGCGGCACGTACTGTAACGATGACGTCACATTCCAGTGTGGATTCACGAAACCAAACAGACAAGAACCGGAAACAACAACAACTACTACTACAACTACGACCTCTGAGAGTAAGTCCTTTTTATTTTTCTATGGTTCTTCCAGATTAATGAGAAGTATATATGTCACAAATTCGAAATTGGGTTGTCGAAAACCGCTTCCACGTCTGCAAATAAGTTATCAGTCTCCGTTATTTTTCAATCTGAGAGTCATCTTACAATGTACTGTCATATTTTACTCTTTGTATGAAATTCAGTTAATGGACATGCGGTTTTTATATACATATACATACGAGTACACATAATTATACATTTTGGTATCTGTTAGTGGTTCCTGTTACGCACATCATGCTGCATTTGGCCAGAAGTTAAAGGGATAATAACTCTTCGTTTCGGCCAAAAAATGAATTTTCCTGGAGTAAACAATAATTTTCCCATACTTACCAATGGTTAATGAATCCATTTTTACATTTAAAGTTAGTCCCTGTTTTTTTTCTAAAAAGTTTGGTTTTTTGTTAAAATCTCTTAAGAGATTTTAACAGAGTATATCCATCAGTGGAGGTCACGTGGTCTAAAGACAAGCTCAGATATCAGAAAAAAGCTATAACTGCCATTTTTGTGGTAAAACAGAATATATTATATTTCTATGAGTTATTCACAATGTTTTTATTGTGAAATATAGATCTCATACGAAGAGTTATTATCCCTTTAAGGATAGTGTTTTAGTAAGGAGGGTTTTTGGGAAAGCATGTATATTCTGTAACCTCCCCAGGGAGGCGAGAACGCCTATAACCAGTCTGAATCATGTTCTAAAAAGTGTCCGAAATATTAAATGATTTATTTAAAACGCACTAAGACGTAGCTTTTTAAGAACCATACTTTATTAGCATCAGACTTTTATTTATATGGAAACCACCATGACTTCAGCTACTGCAGGTGCATGTATCACTTCTCGCGTCATTCAGATGGACTCGCGAGCACTTTCTATAGTCTTTAGATAAGTGAATAGTAGTTTGAATTCAAATAACAGGAGTTGATGGCTTGGAATGCAGGTCCCATACAAAGCCATGGGCGTAAATAATATTACGAGCAAGTGTCACTTACATGTATTATTACATGTCAATGAGGTGCAGTTCTGTATGACTGAGTAGTCCAATTCTCGACACAACTCGGAAACGAAAGAAGAGAGATTTATTTTTGTGATAATATTTCAAAATACGTAGGTGACAAATAATGTAAAAAGTACCAGCAGTGCAAAACTTTAAAATACACATTAATGTGTAATATCTGTCGTCTTCAGTGTATATCTTTCTGAATGTAAAGATTTTCCAGGCAAATTGTTATGTAATGTGACGTCACCGAGAGGCAGGTAAAGAGCGGTTTAAAAGAACCAAGCTTTTCTTTTTCTTTTTCTTTTTAATCAATTTCTAGGAATTTTTAAAGGCGTCAATATGAATTTCATCAGATTTTTTCTGCTTTGATTTATTTCAAATTGATTATCAAATTATCATTATCAAAAGCAAAATCTGTCGCGCCTAAAGTAAAAACTACTATAGCAGGAAAATAATGATGTGTTTGTTTCTTGGTATCTTTTACTCTACGTATGTTATATCTTACCGGTGACAGCTGATGCACTTGCTAAGATAATTCTCGTGATTTTAATAAAAGCCAAATGCAAATTAGGTCTATTCATCAGTGTTGTATTGCAATTTGAAATGCCATTCATGTAGTTACGCAAGAACAAAATCAATTGAAAACTTATTAGAATTACAAATTATGGACGAGGTTAACTTGACAAGAGTATAAAAGAAAGTACTGTAGCAACTTTCTTGAATTGAACCTATCAATCACGAAGAAAGTTTTATAGATAGGCACACAGTTTTTCTTAATTAAATGTATTTTAATTGTCGATTATAAAGTGTCTTTATTTATGTTTCATTGCAAGTAAATTACCAATAGTAAATTACGTTTTGATAATTCTGATCGCAGCGTAAAGGCTTCACTCTGCGTGGAATAGGAATGCACGTGAAACTGTCGAAGATATTCGCTTTAGTTTTTCTTAAAGGAATAATAAGAACTAGGTTTCGCGCTTGATAATAGAGGATACAGGTTTATTTGAATATTGCATTGTATTTTTTTTTTCTAAAAGCTAACAGCTATTATATCAGTTTACGTAGAGAACGTTTTTTTTTTGTTGTTGTTGTTGTTGTTGTTCATACGACTCTCACCAAACGATGCTGGAAATATGACTATCATAAAACTGTGCACTGGTGTACACTAGGTTATTTTGGGGGGGGGGGGGGCAAGGCCAAAATGTAAAATAGGGGGTGTATAGTCCACAGTGTCCTTCCCTGGACCATCCATTTCTGTGAACGGTCCTACTTATTCAACATGACTGCAGTAAATCACAGCAAATTTCTCTCTTCCAGCGCCTATCGACCCGTGTGCGTTGACGATATGTTCCAACGGAGGAACGCCAACAGCTTCTGGATCGTCGTGTACTTGCCGCTGTCGCCCAGGGTATACCGGCGCCAGGTGTAATCTAGGTAAGGCGTGCTGGGGTGGGGGAATGTCATATCTTTTGGCGATCTAGAATTGCACACTGCGTTTTAACAAAAAAAAAGAATAATAATAAAAAAGAAAAGAAAGAGATATAGAAAAAAGTGGTATGAATGACGTCTTTACTGGAGCTTTCTTTCTCATGAGTTTTCATCGTCCCATAGGCTTCGGAGCCCTTGCGGAGATTATCATGTTTATTTGATAGTATATATTTAGTATATTTACAATTGTAATTTTTGCACTGTCAGCTGCTCGCGTTGAAATATCATTCTACAACGGCAGTCATCAGTGTGGACTAGACAGGTTATCGTCTTACAGATATTTGTGAGATCGCCATTGAAAAGACAAATGACGACACTAACACCCCTTTCCATAGATTAGATCGACCTACTTTAGATCGACCTAACTCCCTGGGGGTTCACGCTAAATAGCTGTCAGCCGGGCGGACACGAAAGTTAATTACCCTCTTACAGCTTGTAGTAGGCGGGGCGGACATTTAAGTCGGATTATCTGAAAGTAATCTAGTGAGACTCCCCGCGGGGATAGATCGATCTAAAATCTATGGGAATAGAGCCTATGAATATCATAACACTTGTGCCAGTAAAATATCGTATTGTCTCTTCCGTGTACATGTGTCTCTTTCTTTGTGTGTATGTAAAATACTATAGCAGTGTATCATTCTGGTTTTGCGTCATCCTAAGCCCTAGGTTGCTGGACACCGTCTGTACCTCACTTTTTGTTTGATTCATTCCAAATTCTTTAAAACACAAACGCGGTACTTTCCCCCTTTGTTACTAGTTATAATATAGACGGACGTATAGCTAATCGATAAATAAAATTTTAATATATTTAATATTTATTTAATATTCAAAAATACAATAAAAAATAAATAAGATAAAAAGTCGATGATGTTCGAATCAAGTCACTTGTTTAGAAAAAAAAAAGATAACATGCTGTGCATTCGTGCAACGATCTTTCTTCCAGATGTCAATGAATGTCTCAGTAACAACGGCGGCTGCCAGCAGATGTGCAGAAACTTCTGGGGCGGCCACGAGTGTCGGTGTCAGGCCGGCTATAGACTGGGGGCAGACGGGAAGTCTTGTCATGGTACGTGTGGACTTGCCTCTGAGATCACAGGGGATACTGTGAGTGTCGGTGTCACGCCGGCTGTAGACTGACATATTAATAGATATTAGAACTGAAAAGCCAGGTCATAGATTGTAATTTTGTAAACAGTTATTGATAATAATGATATACCTCGACGATAGAGAGAAACGTGTCAGAATATCAAGGAAAAAATTAATTTTTTGATACAATCAACGCTCATGGAGTTCCTATAACAACACGACAAGAGTCTTCAACATGGAGAGGGTTGGGGTGCAACTGACATACGTGTAGTTGTGTATTTATCTATCAAATTTTATTTATAAAATTTATCTTCCCCGTGGCCTTCATACTGCATATGCAGGGGCGGATTGAGGCCGTCTTGTGGGTCTTCCGGAAGACTGTCAGATTTACATTGACAGATATCTAATTTTTTTTTTTTTTTTTTTTTTTTTTTGTTTGTTTGTTGGAAGACGTTAAAAATGGAGGATGGATGGAAAGATAATTTGGAAGACTGTCAGAAAATATCTCTGGATCCGCCCCTTATATGTGCATTTGTGAACACATTGTAAATATCCAGTAATTCTTTATGTAGACATAGATGAGTGCCAGGAGATGTACAAGTGTGACGTCAACGCCGTATGCCAAAACACACCCGGCAGCTACACGTGCAAATGCAACGCAGGGTATGTGGGAGACGGACACACGTGTACAGGTAAACAGCACGCTTGTTATTCAAATATACATATGCATACATATCTGTAATAACGCAAACGTGTTGCAATTGGAGATACATATGTACAAGCAGGACAAATGTGATTTCAAGCAAATGAATGGGCTACATGTATTATCTACACATAAAATGATAAATATGATATTGGTTAATTAGGTATGTAGTCATTTTGAACATTTTATTTGATATTAATTTACCTATATACTCAAATCAGTGTACATTATTATTATTATTATTATTATTATTATTATTATTATTATTATTATTGTTGTTGTTGTTGTTGTTGTTATTCTTATTTATTTA